GAAGAATCATGACATGTAGTAGAAAAGCAGGAAGGTATCCTGCAGACCCTGTCACACATCTTATGCTAATGCCACACATTGTAGAGGAAATGTCTACACAGGGGCAGGGTACTGAGCTGCAAATGATCAGCAACTCAGTTATTTGTGTACCGGCTTTGTTTGTAAGAGGAACCAAACCAACAACAGCAGTAAGGAGAAAGCAAGCAAGATTTTGAGGTTGGATTTTAGGCACTAACATTTCTTTTTCTCTTCAGTGACTGTACCTCAGGTTATTCCAGACTTGCTCTCATAGAAATGTTGGCATGTAAGAAGAATCCCCTCTGGTGATATCTTTTCAGTTCTTTGCTTTCCTTCACTTCTTTTCCCAGTAGTCCTGCTGCTAGAAAAATCTCAACAACCATGCCGACCAAATCCATATATTCAGATGGTCCAACCTCGACATAGTTCTCAGTACATTCTACTTGATCACCTATTCTCCATTCTCCTCCTCATTCCCATCAGGTATTATGAAGGATCTTATATATTACTCTCCTTGCAAGCTAACATGTTATCCTGCCACACTTTCATGGATGGGTTGCTGGTGGAAGACATGAGACTGCTGGGTCAGAGACAAAGGATGTTATTACACCCTAACATGTGGCATGAGCTTCAAGTTTGCATCTGTCCCTCTAGTCCCCTAAGTCCCACACGAGTGATGCGGGCCGCCCAGGTGATGCTCTGCACACAGTGGGTTTTATCATAGCAAAAGAGCCCAAGATAATGAAACCCAATTTTTTTAATGGGGGTTGTAAGCAAACTTGTCCAACTTTTGCCCCAGAGGGAGCCATTATCTTTATTATTCTGGACAGCAAATATTAATAATTCTGCCCTCTTCCCTGGAGGGAGACTACCTCTGTCTTCTAAGATTGTTTCTTATACAACATCCTCAAAAAGATACAAAAGCTGTCAATGCCTTTGCTCAGATGATGTAAAGACACATGAGAGACCCATGTAGAATTGCCTCCCAACAATTCCTATCACAGGCACCAGAATTATTACAGACTTTTCTACTTTACTGTCAAACTTCTACTCTTCTCTAATCAGCAGAAGATCTTGCCTCTTTACTGACTCACCACAAAACCTCTCACCCACATAATCTTCATTTTTGTTTGGGTCACCTTGCCTCTATTCCTTAATAGAGTGGCATGCATCCTCAGTTTTGTCAATATGCCTGCTGTGTACCAGGCTATGTGCAGTGCCTGAGATAAGGAGAGGAATAAACCGCAGTCCTTGTTCTAGAGGAGATAAGGAGGAAAACAGGCACATAGTCTGATCATTTTAACTGTGTGCAGCAAGGGCTGTGAGCCAAGTGTGCACAAGGTATATTGACAGGAGACTAATCCAGATGGAGGTCATGAAGGCCTCCTGGAAATGCCCAAATTGAATCTTAAAGAATGAATGGATGTTGAATAGGTTAAGAGGGGGAAGAGAAGAGAGGAAGACATTCTAGGTAGAAGGAGAAGCTTGAAGAAAGCTAGGTAAAAAATAGCATAGTGTATGGAAATGTGTGGTGGGAGAGTGGTAATATAAGCAGTTGAAATGTTGCTAAAGCATAAATTGTGAGGTTGCAAATGAAGGGAGAGCTTCGTGGAGGCTAGACTGTGAAGGGTCTTGAGCCAAGGGTCATGATATGGGCAGACTTTGGCTTTGACTGGATAGACCTGGCAACAGCAAGGAGGAAGGGTTTAAAGAGAACAAGGAAGAAAGAGGGAAAACAATTAAGAGATGTTGCAAGCATAAATCCAAGCATAAAGTGATGAGCGTTTGAGATCGGGCAGTTGAGAGCAAAGATGGAGAGAAGATAAAATTAGCAGCACATGATGACAACTTGGGACTCAGGATATATTGGGAGAGGCGGTCAGTAGGAAGACACTGGTGATTCTAGATTGGGCAACTGGGTTGGTTGTGGTTTCTGTAGCTAATTCAGAGGATACAAAAGAACAACACGTTAACATAGGGCGAAAGGACTTCAGGGATGCTGAATTGGGGATACCTGTGGTGCCACCCAGAAGGAGATGTGCACCAAGAGATTTGGGTATGTGAATTTTAAGTCTAGGAGAGGTTCAGAATGAGATATAGGTTTGAGATGCAACAGCAATATATGAGGTGATTTCCCCAAGTAGGACTGTGATTGAGAACGATCTAAACAAGGAACCAAAAAAGGGCAGAAGAAGGGCACCTAGAGGGCCCTGAGAAGTGGTTAGAGAATAAGAGGGGGATGGAGAGTTGGGGGTCTTGGAAGTAGAGGGTCTCTACCTGTGTTTCTGTCCTCACCAGGGGTGGGAGTGTGAAGTGGGGGAATAGAACTAAGCTATAATTATCTATTGGTGAATTGCTAAATCTTTCCAGTTATTCAGAGAAAAAAAGAAAAATCAGAGAAGTCTTCAATAGTTTGGAAACCACTAGTCCTGAACTAGTAGCTGCAAACCTGGGATCTAAGCCCTGCTCTGCCAAAACTTGCTGTGTGACTTGGTTAAGGTATTGCCCCTCTCTGGTCCAGATTGCCTCACTGTTTAAGTGAGAGGATTGGATGCATAGTTCCTAAGGTCCTTCAGAGAAAAGGGCTCTTCGCAATTCTGGGAAAATTGGAGGCAGAGTTTATGCTGCAACATCTGGAAAATGACTGTTTTCTCATGGCGTTGATGTGTCCATGCTGACACTAAATTTGGCTCAGAAATGAGGGAGAATGGATGCTACCCTTTTATACCTCCCTTCTGCCTACCAACCCAACCCCTGGAAAGCACTAATCTGTTTCCCATCTCTCTAATTTTGTCATTTCAAGAATGTTATATAAATGGAATCGTACAGTGTGCAACCTCTGAAGATTGGATTTTCTTATTCAGTATAATTCCCTTGAGATCCATCCTAATTGTGTGTATTAAGAGTAAATTAACATTTACTTTCCTTTAAAAAGACACAAATGGTTTGGTATGTAACATCTTCCAGAATGGTGATTCCAGCCAATGTATAAAAGGATAATATTGAAGCTAGGACTGAGGCACCATTCTATTATAGTGAGGCTGGTCACCAGTTAGAACCACAGCTTTGTCTAGGAGCCCCTTTTCTCGTCTTTGACTTAATACAGCGGTTCTCAACCTTCCACAGGGGC